GGACATGCAAAAGGGGTACAAGGTATGGTAACTACAACAAAAATGACAGCATGAGATAGTCAAATAAACCATAAACGGATAAACATAATGAATAAAGATGGCACGACATCACCCATCGTTATTTTACTCTCAACCTCACCATGAAATAATAATAATGGCATAGCATCACCCTTCTTACTTTTACTCTCAATATCTCCATGAAACAATAAATACGGTACGACATCACCCTTCCTGCTTTGACTCTCTTCCTCACTATGTATTAATCAATAAATGAAGCAATAATCGGCAGGGCATCACCCTCCGTACTTTAACACTCTCCCTTACCATGTAGTAATGAATATAAGAATAAGCAAGAATAAACCTTACGTCAACAGTGGTTCCAATATACCAATCCTCAATTCAAAGAAATACTCCACCATCACCATTTAATTTATAAATGCGGAAAGAATGATCAAATAAGGAAGAAACTAATCTAAGCATTGATATATAAGTAAAGAAGGCAATAAATTACAAGAAATAAGTTCCACATGCATGCTTTAACCCAACAACAACGCATAAGTACTCGTCACCTCACATATACGTTGTACCAAAACATTTAAACATGTAGAAAATAGGAAAACAAGTCCTAATCCCTCAAGTCAAGGTTAACCACGACACTTACCTCACTCCGAAATCGACTCAAAGTTCACCCACGGCTTTTCCATTCAAACAACCTCTGAACCAACTAAATCTAGCAAATTATTGACCAAACGATTCAAAATAGGCCTTAGAAATTACCCACGAATGAGGTTCAATTTAGGTCATTATTGAAAAAGTCAACCCCGGACCCGCTTGGTCAAAATTCGAAATTCGGACCAAAACCTGTTCACCCGTTCACGCCCGATCCCGGTTATGTAATTTGTTTCGAAATCCGACCTCAATTCGAGGTCTAAATTCCAATTTTAAAAATATTCCTAATTCTACCCAAATCCCCAACTTCTACGATGAAAAAAAAATCCTAGATTTAAGGTTGAAATCTAATGAAATATAATGGGTAATTGAAAGGAAGTAGGTTAGAGTCACTTACCAATGAATTGAGGAAGAAGACCTCTTGGAAAAATCGCTAAGGTTTTAGGATTGAGAATTTGAAAGAATGAGCTAAAAACCCGTTTTTTCTTTCTTAAGTCCAGACACAGATGTCGCAATTGCGAACCACGCAAATGCGAAAAATCCTTCGCAAATGCAAAGTCTTCACTATGTTGACCGAAGTCAATTCAACTAAAATTTTTAATGCATGAATTCACATTTTAATCAGTTTTCACATAAAAGCCTTACGGAAAAAGACACGGATTGCGCACGCAAATTGAGAAAAGCTAAAAGGAGCTATTTAAGATTTTGAAACACAGAATTAAGGTTTAAAATTATAGATGACCTATCGGGTCATCACAAATACGTACCTTCTTGACAATCAACAATAGATGATTTTCACTATATTTAATACAAATAGCAGACTTGTGATAATGTTCAGCTGCTAACTCTTCAATGTTTTCATAGGCTGGTTGTGCTCCATCTTCACAGCATTTAGAGTTCAATATCAGGAATATTTTCTTCAAATTTTCTCCCTAGCACTTGTCAGGTACTACAAAAGAAATCTTGAACACAAGTTAACTAAACAAAAATAAAAATAAAAGCTAATTCCTGAATAAGCATCAAAAATTATTTTAAGCACTATTGATTGCCAATCCCCGACAACTGCGCTAAAATTTGACAAGCGCAAAACACAACACGAAATTAATGCTCGCTAGCCAAAGATAGTATAGTTTAATTATTGTCTCAACATGAATTGGATTTAAATAATGCTCTAGTAATTTCTGGTTTAACTGCTATTCATGATGATCAAAACTTGATTTGGATTGATTATAAACTAGGATTAACTAATAAAGTAAGCAATTGACAATAGACTACAAGAACTACAGATTAGCAAAGTCGGTTTCTTATCAATGTGAGAAATAAGGGTGTTGACAAGATAGGTGCAAGATAGCTATTTGGGATCCAACTCTAGTTTAATTCACTCTAATGTTCTAGTAATTCTCACGAATTCGCTCGATGATTAGTTCAAATGTGTAGTCAAGACTCCTCTCTCGATTAAATATTAACTCTACAAAGTAAACTAATATAAGCACTGTGAAACATGAAGTGTCTTCATATTTGTTGGTAGGAGATATTCCCTCACTAGATACTCAACCTAGAATTGTCCGGGCAGCCAAACATGAAGCCTCCACCTCCTGCCCACCTAACATAACCAATCCCCAATTACAACACACCCCCTCCCTCTAACAGTACTCAAGCAACCATCGTCAACACCACCGTAAACACACATCCCCCACTAGATCTCCATGACCAAACTGACCAAAATCAAATCTCAAATACCTCAGCTACACAAAACAATACACAAGCGCCTTTACCCACCAGGGTAGCAGAGCAATATTTTAATCCAACTCACCTAAACCAGCAAAATCCAACCTTGAATCAAGTAACCTCAGCTCCAGCAGATCTTAACCAGGAAGGCTTCATAAAAATGGTGTTAAACAATCCAACGGTTATGCAAGCTCTCAACTCTGCGGTGGCTGGTCATATTACCCAAAACCAAAATGCACCACCAAAAGCACACCCCTTTCCCATAAAGATTAGCTCTATTTTGATCCCCCAACCCATAAAAGATTGAGAAATATAACTCCAATGACAACAATACAATCTACTGAAGAGAACAACATCCAGAGTCAACCTTTGCAACCCTCAAACCAGCAAACAGATCATGTCAAACAATCTTCCTCAGGGTAGAGAAGCGTAAACCTACTGGACCATCTAAACCTTCATTTGCTGCGGCAGTTCAAGCCACTCTAGCATCATCTTTAGCAGCAGCGCCGCCAATTGAGATTAGCCATGGTACACATCTTGATAAACTAGCTGTTTATTTTACTGGAGAGGACTATTTTGTTAACTTGGCTCAAGATTGCAAAATGACTATTGTTGGGAAGTTTCTAAGAGGCAAGCCAAATATGGATGAGTTGAGAAAACTTTTTGTGAGTAAATGTCATTTGAAAGGAACTGTCAAATAGCCTTCTACGATTATCAGACTGTTTACATTGATTTCACCAATGAAGTCGACTTCAATAATATATATTTCAAACCTTTTGTCAACATTGATCCTTACATTATGAAGGTCTTGAAGTGGACACCAGATTTCAAACCAGAGAAAGAAACTTCCATTGTTCCTCTATGGATCTTAAATCATAAGCTGCCTTGGCATATGTTTAGATGGAATGTAATATCCAGAATGGTGCAATCCATTGGAACAGTTGTAGCTCCTGACCAAGCTACTTTCTCTAAGTCTAGAGGAAATGTAGCTAAAATTAAGGTAGAGATTGATTTGCTAAAACCCAGTTGCTTCTAAATGATGGATCTGATGATGGAGTGTGGCTTAAAGTTGAATATGAAGGAGATCCTGGATATTGTGACTTTTATAAAATGCAAGGTCATGATGTCAAGCAATGTAGAAACAAGGCAGCAGAAGAGAAAAACAAAATCATCAAAGAAGATCATCTCAGCAGGAATGCCAATCCTCTATATGCACAAGCAAATAATGATGGTTTTGAAGAGGTAAACAGGAGAAAAAATAAGCAAAGAAGAAGGAAGAATACAAGTATTATCATTGTTGAACCAGAAGAAGCGGCACAAAACAAGAAATATGTACCAATTGTTAATAACAAAGGAAAAGAGGTTTCTTTGGAAGAAAATGTACCACCAGTAAGGGTACAAGCCGCAAAAAATGACACTCCTATACAAAAGAGCATACAAGAGCAGATTCAAGATGAAAAGAACAAGGAACAAAACATTGAGCAGATAGTCAAATATAAAAGAAGGAACAAGAAAGTCCTTTGTAAGGATCACACTATAGCAAATGAGGGAGAATCAGTTGAGTCCACATTTGTAGCAACAGAAGATAAAATTGATCAGATACAAACTAGCTCACCTTCTACCCACAAACCAGCTCAAACCAGCTTGTCGTCTACCCAAAAACCAAACAACAAACACAATACTCAAACCAGCTCACCTTCTAGCCAAACACCAATCACTACACACAACCTTCAAACCTTAAAAATAGCAATGAACTAAAATACACTCCCAGCAACCCCAACAGATGGAAAAAAAGGACCATGTAGGACCTTCTAACCTAAACCAAAATAAAACTCAAGCAGCTAGCCATATCCCTAAAAACCAAGACAGCTCAGAACAAGAGGATCTCTCAACTAATGAGGACTCTAGTTCTAAAGAGGATGGAGAGGAGGATAGCAGTGAGGAGGATTATGAAAGCATTGAAGGAAACTCTAACTGATGAAGAGGTTGAGCAACATATTCAAGTTTTCAACCCTAGACCACCTGACCCTCAAGTTGAGCAGGCTTTTGGAGAAATTGCAAATAACATGAATCTCTCACCAAGAGGCTTTCACTCACCTATAGGAGGAAGGGACACTAGAGGAGGCAAAAGAGGGAGAGGCAGACCACAAGCACATGTGACCAAGTCACAGGCTCAAAGTTCAAGCTCTATCCAGTTTTAATGATTAAGTCTGTTACATGGAATGTGAGAGGCATCAGGACTCAAGGTGCCTTTGATAGACTCAAACAGCTCAAAAGAAAACACAGATGGGTTTTTATGGCTCTAATGGAACCATTTTGTAAAATATCCAGAATTTTTAAAGGTGGATAGGGTATCAATTTGCATATTCTAATTGCAATAATAAAATTTGGCTTTTCTGGGATCAACAATATAATTGTACCATCATACAGGACACAATACAATAGGTGACTTGTTGTTTATCTGATCAAGAGGATATGTTTTGGTGACTTTAGTTTATTCCAAATGCAAGGCCCATTTATGAGAGGCATTATAGGAGGATCTAAGAAGTATGGAAATTAGTATTACATTTCCATGGTTGATAGCTAGTGATTTCAACTGTACAATGGCCCCAGAAGAAAAGAAAGGGGGCAACGCACACAAAATGACAAAAAGCATGCCTTTTTTGAAGTGCACGATGGATTGTTCCATAATTGATGTGGGTTTTATTGGTTCCACTTTCACATGGTGTAATGGAAGAATTCTTGAAAATAGGGTCTGGGAACGGCTAGACAGAGTTCTCATTAATACTGAATGGTCACAGAAATTCGCAGATACTTCAATGATACATCTTGTTAGAATAGGCTCTGATCACTCTTCATTATTGATCATAGTTGCAGTACCACAACAAACAACACAGAGATACTTTAAATTTTTGTACTTCTGGATTCAAGAGCCTGGAGTCAATGATATTTTAAAGCAGGCATGGGCAGAAAAAGTCAATGGTTCACCTTTGTGGTAGTTTCATTTAAAGCTCAAAAATACTTGTAAAAAATTAACTTGGTGGTCCAAAATAAGGTTGGAAACATTTTTTATAATACAAAGTTACTGGAGGATAAACTAGCAGAAATGGAAGAGAAGTGCTTGCAAGACAAATCTAAAATGAATAGGATGGCATACAATAATGTTAATGCACAACTAATACTGCACAACAAGAAGGAGGAGACCTTTTGGAGGCAAAAATCAGGTCTGCACTGGTTTAAAAAGGGAGATGCCAACTCCAAATTCTTTCACTCAATGATAAACTCTAGAAGGAGAAGGTTGTGTCTGAAGAAGATTAGAGGGAGAGACAACACATGGATAGAAGGAACAAAGAAATAACTGCTGAAGCAATTCACTACTTTGAATCTCAATTTTCACAAGAAGATACTCATGGAAATTCTGATATATTTTCATGCTTACCTAATGTGATTAATGAAGAGGACAATGAATTGCTGAGTGCACCTGCTACTATAACAGAAGTGAAAGAAGCAATTTTCTCATTGAGTGCAGACAGTGCACCTGGACCTGATGGTATCTCAAGAAGATTTTATCATCAATGCTGGGATATCATCTCAACAGATTTATTTAACATGGTTTGTGACTTTTTTGCAGGTACACATTCGCCTAGATCACTAACACATACATGTTTGATATTGTTACCTAAAGTAACCAGTCCTCAGAAGTTTACAGAGCTAAGGCCCATCAGTCTTAGCAATTTTAGTTGTAAAATTATCTCAAAACTTCTAAATACCAGGCTTTCAAAGGTGATGCATAAGGTGGTATCTTCGTAGCAGGCTGGTTTTTTGAAGGATAGGTCAATCACAGAAAATATTATGCTTACACAAGAGATGACTCACAACATTAATCAGTTTAATGCAAATGGAAATGTTGTTATGAAACTAGATATGACAAAGGCATTTGACAGAGTAGACTGGAAGTATCTATGTCAAGTGTTAAGGCAATTTGGTTTCTCAGAACTCTGGATAAACATGATTTGGAGGTTATTAGATAATAACTGGTACTCTATAAATATCAATGGTGGCAGGCATAGGTTTTTCAAATCCGGAAGAGGCATTAAGCTGGGGGTCCTCTTTCCCCTTCACTATTTATTATTGGAGCTGAACTTTTGGCCAGGTTAATGGAGCAGCTAAAGGATGAGAGTTTTATTCCATACTCAGTTGACAAGAATTGTCCCATTATCACACATTTAAGTTATGCGGATGACACTATTCTCTTTTCTTCAGGGGATCCCTTGTCCTTCTTGCTATGATGAATAGGTTGTCAACTTATGAGAAGTGTTCTGGTCAACTAGTTAACAAGAGCAAATCTTGCTTCTTAGTTGCACCTAGCACATCTCAGTCTGTGATTGATGATATCCAACAAGTTATTGGTTTCAACCATTCTAAATTTCCTTTTCATATCTAGGATGTCCTATTTATGTTGGAAGAAAGAAAGTGGTATATTTTGGGGATCTTGTTGACAAATTCTCCAAAAGGCTACTGGTCTGGCAAGGAAAAATGTTATCTTTTGGTGGCAGAGTAGTTTTAATCAAAGTTGTGTTGCTTTCTTTACCTATCCATGTTTTATCTGTGACTCAACTACCAAAAACTACCATGTTACAAATTGAAAGACTTATAGCTAATTTCTTTTGGAACGAATTGGAGGGTAAAAGAAAATTCCACTGGATTTCCTGGAAAAAGTTTTGTTTTCCTACGGATGAAGGTGGTGCAGGATTCAGATCTCTTCATGATATTGAAAATGCTTTAAGCACTAAAGTTTGGGGGAACTTTAGAACAAAGGATACACTTTGGAGACGGTTTTTAGAAGCAAAATACTGCCCGAGGTCTCACCCTGTTTTCAAAAAATTTGCTGCAGGACAATCTCATACTTGGAAGAGAATTTTGGGGGTCAGAAAGGAATATGAACAGTTTATGCTCTAGAAAGTTATTGCTGGAGATCTCTCCTTTTGGTGGGACAATTGGGTGGGATTAGGCCCCCTAGCTCAATTCTTTCCTCATTCCTATAAATCTAAGAAAACTAGAGTGGCTGAATTTACGGAGGATAGAACATGGAACTTGGCCAAACTACACGAGCATCTTGCTGATAATCTAGTGTCAAAAATTTAAGGGATCACAATTCATGAAGAGTCTAACGACTTTCCAGTTTGGACACCTGAACAGCAAGGGATTTTTTCTTGTAAATCAGCGTGGAAAACTTTGAGGAGGACCAAGAATGTCACTCTTTCTGCAACCAAAATATGGCATCACAAAGTTCCTTTCAAAGATTCCTTTTTATGCCAGATTATTATCCCATAAATTGCCTACAATGATGTTTTGCTAAGGTTCAAAATCATTGGACCTTCTAAATGTCTTTGTTGTATAAACGGACATACAGAGAGTATTGATCATCTATTCAATAATGGGGACCTAGCCATTGCAGTTTGGACATTTTTCTTCGGAACTTGTGGGGTTAGCTTAAATCAAAGGAGCATTAGATCAACTCTGATGAAGTGGTGGCTCATGAAATCAAAAAACAAGGTAGACTCTTTTCTGCTCCAATGCTTGTCTTCAGTCATCTGCTGGGAGTTGTGGAAAGCAAGGTGTAGCTCCAAATATGAGGATAGTAGATGTACTCCAGGGAGAATTATAAATCAAGTTATCTACTTAATGAAATTACTGATTTCTTCCCAATTTCCTTCACTTGTATTGGATGAGCAATGGCATGTTGCATGTGATCAAATTGAAAAACTTAAGCCTAAGCTTGATATTCAGTGTTTGAAATGGATCAAACTCGATCCTTTGATGTATAAATTAAACACTGATGGGTGCAGTAAAGGCAACTCAGCCAGAGCAGGAGGTGGTGGTATTCTGAGAGATGATAATGGTGAGCTAGTCATGGCATATGCAAATTATTTTGGGGTATGTTCTAACAATGTGGCAGAGGCTCTAGCAGTGCTTATGGGAGTTGAATGGAGTATTAACATGGGTTACTTGAATGTTATAGTTGAATATGACTCTTTGGTCATTATTGCAATGATTAACGGAACACATGCTATACCATGGTAAGTCAAACAAATCGTCAGGAAGATTTTAGAGCTAAAAGTGCAAGGTAATTTTGTTTTCCAGCATTGTTACAGGGAAGTGAACTGTATAGCTGATTTTTTAGCTAACTTTGGAGAGCACACAATGCAAAGTTCATTCTTCACATAGGATTTAACTCTCCCTTTGAAAGCTAAAAACTATTTGAAGAATGACATCAATGGCATACCAGTCCTTCGGATCAAAGCGCAAAGAAGAAACTTCACGTTTGACTATGGCTAGTTACAATAATATATTTTTACGGTTTTTTACTAACTTTTACCTAGAGTACAAAGTTCATAGTGTAAAGGAGGAGAGTTCCTTTACTTTGTTGCATTTTGAACACTTATGTACAAGAATGTCTAAAAACATTCTTCATTTTGTATTGGAGGCTAGGGTCTACGTCCTCCTTCATGTACTCTTTTTATGTTATAATTTACAGGTCGGGGTGTCCGCCTAAACCCCCCACCACAACGGTGGCTTTTTATTAAAAAAAAAAAATTTTTATCTATCGTCAATAAAATGATGAAACTATATAGAAACGTGGCAAAAAATCGTTGTATAATTGTAATATTATAGTGTGTAAAGTTTAGTTACTTTAATTTGATAGAAAAAAGTTTTGTTGTTTTACTACTATTGTGAGAAGAATTTCGCGATCATACGTGAATGCATCCCTTCCAAGTAATTATGTCGAGTTGTCAATTAAGCAATGTTAAATTTCATAAACTATCGATTAATTAATTTTCAACTATAAGTTGTAATAAAATGCCGATCAACCTCCAAGTCTGCTACAGCATTGTGTGACATACCGATATCTCAGAAAATAAAGGTATATATATATATATATATATATATATATATATATATATATATATAATTTTAAAAAGAAAAACAATAAACACACTACTAATAATTTGCCTTGATTGCAAATTTACGAAATCTAATTACCTCATACAAATGAGGAAGAAACATAAATGTAAACAAATCCTCTTATCTGGAGAAAATTTAAATGAGCAAGTTTGACTGTACAGATGGGAAATTATTTGGGAAAAAGAACTTAAAATGGAGGACAAGAAATAGAAAAGGGAAAAAATTCATAGAGTTACAAAATCTGTCTGCGTTCACACTATCTGGCTAGCAAAATGAAATGACAACTTAGTCCATTCTAGCGCCGACCCGCCAGTCAGAATTTTAACGTTATGAGTTTTGAGTTTAATATGGAATTCTAAAAGCATATTTAATTTAATTTATATTTGTTATTCATACATGTATATATGGTTCGACCTCAAAATTCCGGATTCTACCAAATTCAGTAACAACTTGTTTGGATGGTTGTTACCTGGTATATTATATCGTATTGTTACTTCAAATATAATGTTTGTTTTGATTGTTACTTAAATTTTATCGTGTCGTATTGTTAAATCCATCGTTACGTAACAACGAAAAATGTAACTTTATGGAACGACCGATTTGGTGTGGTTGCGCCGTTACCTTATTTTTTTTGTTTCGTCTTGTCCTTTCTTATTATTAAATAATCATATTTTATTCTTTATCCTATGTACCTTTTTATATAATATATAATTCTACCTTAACCTTATTTTTTCTTTATAATATTGCAAATTTATTCTTCATATTATAAGTGCATCACATCAAGAAATGACGGCAAACATACAATCTACCCAAACGTTGTATACATCAAAATAATACTATACGATAATAACATTATGAAATGATACATAACAACCATCCAAACAAGTTGTAATCTATATTTAGATCCGTCACATTTTCAGAAGAAGGGTAAAATTGGAAGAAAAGTACCACATTTCATTGCTGTTGAAATGTAACGGGCTGTTAGAGAACTTTGTCCTATCTGTCCTTATGTTCTTCTAAACAAACAAAAATTGGCTAAAACAGTTGTATTTATTAAGTACTTCCATTGTTCTCTTGCCAATTACTACACTTTAAGGGAACAACCATTGGCTATATATAAATTCCTAGTAGTAGTTTTCTGTGCCTTTCTTCCATATTTTTCTCTTTAAAATACCATTTTCAGAAAAAATTGAAACACTTTTGAGAGGATAAAATTGGAAAAAAAAAAAATCAAATGAGTAGCTCTGGTTCATCATCTCTTGAATCAATTGAGCAGGTATGTATATATATGTGTAGCATTACCAATTTCCTTTTTTTTTATTCCTCAGAAAAAAAAAGTATATTTATTAGTAGTATATGGTGAATTTTAATTCATGCGAAATAAATTGTACTTATATGTTTGCTTTGATTGTTGAGGAAATTTTGTGAGGTCTGAATATCATTATGTATGATAGGCTCTTAAATGATAGTGTATAAAAGGTATAATAATTGTTGAAGAAACTGAATTTGGTCCATACTATGTAGACTTTTATTATGACTGAAAATACAAAATGAGACTCTCAAATTAATTGTCATGTTTTTCTTTTCGAGATTCAAATTGTGTGAGCTTAGACCAATATTTTAAGATGTTTTTTTTATCATATTGACATGAAAAGAATTATAACTGGTAATACTTTTCGTATTGCTTTTGAAAACCTAATTTCTAATTGTAAAATATTGAATCTAATTCAATTTAGCTTCAAAGATGAGTCAAACTTGTTTTCGAGACGCGAAACTTGACAACTAATTTGGGACAGAAGGGGTAAATAGTTGTAATAATTGATAAAATTTGTCGGAATTTGATTTCATCAACTTGTTTTGTGCAATTGGTCTTTTTAAAACCTAAATTTATTAAAGAAATTTTCTAGACTTAATTTTGTGAGAGAAATAGTTTTTGACAGTATTGTAAATTGATTTCAATAGCACGATTTTTAATCATTCAGAGTTGGGTAAAAAATAACAAATAGCCTGATTTACAACTGGTAATTAAAAATAGCCATACAGTTTCAAAAATAATTGAAATTTAGTTACTTTTTCATATAAAGATAAAATCTGAACAAAAATACCCTTAGTATTCGGAAAAATTCCAACATAATATGCTGGAGTTCGAATTTTTTACATATTCCAGTATAACGTTCGAATTTCATAACATGCTGGAGTTCCAATATAATATGCTGGAAATTTTATACACATGAGCTTCATAATCCAGCATATTATGCTGGAAGTTTTCGTGTTTCAACTAAAATAGTGCCTACTTTTCAATGACTTTGCAAATGCTAACATTTATATATATATANAATTTATATACATCATTTGATATTCTCAGAACTTAGCCAAGTACCAAAAGAGTAGTAAAGTCTTAGTTTCTCTATATAATGATGGCATTAATTTGATAAGCTAAAAGACTTTTTGAAATTCGATCAAATCGATCTGAGAAATATAATGAATATATTTAATTTGTAGGAGGAATTCTCTGTGGAAGCTAGGAGGAATATGCCAGGATGGCTTGGTCCATTTTTAAAGAGGACATTTTTTGGGTCATGTTTGGTACATGAACTCCAAAAGAATGAATTGAACAGGTATTGCATTACCTGTGATTTAGCATTATGCAGGTATTGCATTTCTTCAGACAAACACAATGACCACAAGCTTCTAAAGATTTATCGACATGTTTACAAAGATGTTGTTCCCCTCGATGAGATGGAGATTCATATTGACTGCACCAAAATTCAGGTAATTTTCTAACAATTTATTCTTGAATATAATTATAATAATTATATCAGTTGAGCTTAAATGAAAAAGTAAAAATTCATATATCCAACTTGTTTGGTACTGATGCATAGTTATTATTGTTGATTCGTGAATATTACTATTTTCAGGTCCCTTTTCTTGGGTTCACATGGCATTTTGTTACCGGCAACAACTAGAAAAAAGATATTACAAATTGTGTATATGTGCTTTAGACATTAATTTGAACATTTTGGTTGATATTTTTTGGGAGGGAAGAAAAATGGGAGGTTTTGTCTCTTTTTTTCTTCCTTTTTTCTTCACATAAATATAGCTGACCCCGACTTGTTTGGAACAGAGGGGTAATTATTGTTTGTTTGTTTATTGCAGCCATACAAATGCAACAAAAAATGGGTTATCTCTTTAAATCCGCTGCCACATTGTGGGTCAGGCTCGCAAATTGTTGGAGATGCTACTTGCTATATTTGCAAAAGGAGATTGAATGACCCTGACCAGTATCGCTTCTGCTGTATTGCATGCAAGGTATGAATAAACTTTGGCTTCATAAAAATTACGAATCTTTACATAAATAGTCGATCGGATTTATTATTTATTTTTTTCTAGTTTGTATATATTAATTATATACTGAATATACATATATTATACATTGGATTATACATATGTTATGCATCCCCTGACTATTTTTAATTTAATCGATTCGTTGGATGGCCATTTAGGTTATTTCTTTTGTTGTTTTCCAAATGCATATGTGGTTCAAGTTCCACGTACGGTTGTTCATTGCATCTACTTATTCAATTGCATTCTGATCTTTATATTGTATCTCCTCTATACAGATTGAGAAAGAAATCAAAAAATGATAGTATAATGATTATTAATAATTATTGATTATAACGGTTACTTGCTAAGAATTTTATGAAGTTTATTATTGTTAAGGATTATAAGTGATAGGATTATAAACTACACAAATAGTGTAAAAAAAATTATACTATCAATGCATATAAGTAATGTACTTATATATGACGGAATTTGTAGGTAGAAGCCATATCCAGGAAGAGAAATGAGGCGAGTTGCGCGCTACGTGCAATTGAAGCTTTTGAAGCAATTCAGAATAGTGAGATTAGGCGCAAGCGCAGGAGGAAGGGATTTCCTAATAGAGCTCCTATTCAATAACATTTGCATATCTAACCATTTTAGCTCTCTTTTCCATCTACCTTTGGGTAGTTAGAAAAACAAATGTTGGTTTTTTCCTTTTTATTTTTTTTATTTTTTGTGGTTATCTTCAAACTGCGATTAATGGGGCTACTCAAAAAACATGATAGCTCTATGCTTTGAGCTAATTTTTTTTTAAGACTGGAACCTTATAGTCTGATTGGTCAATCTTCTTGAAAGCTAAAAGCACTTTTTTTTATTAAAAAAAATGTATTTTTTCTGAAGATTTGAGGTTTTTGGCCAATTTGTAAGAGTATTTTTGAACAAAAGCATAAGTAGTTTTTAAATATATGTATATGGAGGCACGGTCTCTCTTCCGATACATGTTTCCTACCCGGTGTCCGGTACCGGCATTGGAGCCCGACTATATCCGGATCCACGCCGCGTAGGGCCCCATTCGGGGGGAAGCGCTCCCTACCAAAGATTTTTCCATATCCAGGGCTCGAACTCGAGACCTCTGGTTAAGGGAGGAGTGCAATCCACATGTTATATACCAGTAGGGTGATTCAACGCTTATTGTTGTAAAATACTAGTTATATATATATATATATATATATATATATGACTTTTGGAAATCCACCGGACCAATTGAACCAAACCTTATGAATAGTTAGTATTAGCTTAAGAAATTGAGAAAATATCGAACAAAACCTGATAAGTACAAGATGAATAAAATAAAATCATACAGAAATAGTACCTGGGAATTGTAAAGTATTAAATTTTTTAATTGGTGTAGATTTACCAATTCAAGTCAACTAGGGAGTGATTCTATCTAATTAATCCCCTTCATGTTATGAGTGTATTCTCTCCTTTTCAAATTAAGGAATCCAGAGAGAGTAGGCCATTTACAATATAGAACATGTAATAAGTAAAATAACATTGACTAATTTTAATTATGATTTATTATTTCATGTTACTATTTCAAGCTATTAGTTTTTGATATCATATATAGATAAGATTCTCAGTTCGGTCATCATATATTTTTCTAGTTGCATAATATATTTTTTTTAATGAGATGACGGTGAATAAAGTCAATTAACAAGGATAAGATCCATCACACAATTAATTCCTTTTAATTTTTCTTTTATTAATATATGCATGTAATTTTCACTTTTATTTTCTAACATTTTATATTTTTTTATATAACAATCTAAATTATAAATAATAACGAAATATTTTAAATAACGTATCTCGTAATGACATGACAAAATTTATCTCTTTTTTTTTGGCCAAAATTAAAAAAAAAATTATTTCAATCAAGTATATCTATTTACTTCCACTAGTTACATTTGGACTCTATAACTAGTCTCCAAATTCTTCCTATCTATGTAAAGGTATAAAAAAACTCTTTCCAAAACCTCTCTACCTCTACTTAGGGTAGCTATTCAAAGACTCTAGGACTCTTCTCCATTTGCTGAATTGTTGTCCTCTTGTATGCAATTGTATTACAATCTCTTTAAGGATCTGTCGACCCTCTCTCTTTTTGTCTTGAAATCTTCTTATGTTTCTTTCACTCCACAAATGGTAAACAGTAGCAGCATATAAGAATTGTAGGATCTGTGCTCGTGGTCTGTTGTTCCCTGTTTTTCTACTAATCCATTCTGTTTCTTCTTCCCAGTTACTGATCTTCCTCTTCTCTCCTAGCCATTGAAGTATTGAATTCCAGATGTAGGCAGAGTAACTGCATTGAAAGAACAAATGCTGCAAAGTCTCCTCAGCTCCTGTATTACACAAAACACAATCTGTTTGTACTTTGACACCCCATTTCTGTATTCGATCCACAGTAGCTAACCTTCCCATAAGTGCCAGCCATAAGATAAACTTGTGTTTTGGAATAGTCTTTGATCCCAATACAAGTCCTCTCCATTTCACCTTCTGATTCTGTGGTAGGAAGGCTTGGTATGCTTTTTTTATTCTGAACTTACCTGTGATGCAGCAATCTTGTAACGCCACTTTTAAATCCTTGTTCAATTACCATTTCTTTGCGTCCAATATTTTTCGTACTATCCAACAAGCTCTAGTTGGAGTTGTCATTTGTTGTATGTCTTTCCCTTTGATATAGAATGTATGTATCCATTTTATCCAAAGAGAATCTTTCTTCATTGCAGCTTGCTAAGAGCTGTTTTGTTCCAAGTATGAAACTCTATAAAATTTAGACCCCCTGCTGAATATGGTTTACACAATGTTTCCCATGCAACCAGTGCTCTCCTTGAGCTTTCATGTCTGCCTGTTCATAAGAATATTCTGCATATTCTTGTCATAAGCTGAATGACCTTCTTTGGGATTAAAAACACCTGGGCCCAATAAGTTTGCATCTCAAATAGAACACTCTTTATGAGTTGGACCCTTCCACTATATGCTAAGTACTTCGTAGCCCAACATCTTATTTTTGCAGTCATTCTTTCAACTAGAGGTAGACACTATTGAACTGTGATTTTCTTTGATAATAGAGGAACTCCCAAATATCTAAATGGTATCTCCCCCTCTAAAACTTCATCTCTTCTAATATTTGATTCTTCAACCTTGAGTTAACCCCTGCCACATATAAAGAACTTTTCTCTAAATTGGCCTTTAATCCAGATACTTCTGAGAAGTGATTAAACTGCTTCATCATCAACTTCACTGGAATTACATCAGCTCTACAACACATGATTAAGTCATCCGCAAAGCATATATGAGCTATCTCCATCTTGTTGCATCTTGGATGATAGTTAAAATCTGGAATATGTCTCAACTGTTTAAGTGATCTATTCAAATACTCCATCACTAAGACAAACAAGTATGGAGACATTGGATCTCCCTGTCTTAAACCTCTCTTGGCTTGGAATCTGGGAGTAAGTCCTCCATTGAATAGCAATGAATAGCTCACTGTACTTACACATTCCATAATCAGATTGACAAATTTCATAGGCATCCCAAATTCTAGCAATATCATTATGAGAAAACCTCAGTTCACTGTATCATATGCTTTCATAATGTCTACCTTCACTAGACATCTAGGAGACACTCCCTTTTGTTTGTATCCCTTTACCAATTCATGAGCGACAATCACATTATCCAAAATATTCCTCCCCTCAATAAAAGCTGATTGTGAATGTCCTACTAGGTGGTCAACTACTAGTTTTAACCTAGTAGTAATAACTTTGGCAATCAGCTTATACAGAGTTGTACAGCAGGCTATGGGTCTGAATTCCTTCACAAAAGAGGGTTTTTTTAACTTTGGGAACTAGTGTTACAGTAGTACAATTCACCTCCTTTAGCAACTTTCCAGTTTGGAAGAATTGTGTTGTTGCCTTTGTCACATCCTTCCCTATCAAGTGCCAGTACTTCTTAAAAAATTCTGCTGGAAACCCATCGATACCTGGAGCTTTTTCAGCTGGTAGGTCCTTCAAAGCCTGAACTATCTCAGTTCTATCACTTCTTAAATAAGAAGTAGCTTTTGCTCAGCAGTAATACAAGGTCCATCTCTTGCAATTCTTGGATCTAAAAATGACATTTCTCCTTCACTTGAGCCCAACAACTTCTGAAAAAAACTTGTAAATTCTTTTTGGATCAGATCAGGGTCATGTAGTTGAATGCCATCTTCTGTGCAGATGATGAAACTCTGTTTTTCGCTTGTCTTGCTTTCAATGCTTCATGGAAAAATCTCGTATTTGAATCACCATATGCTAGCCATGTTGCTCTTGACTTCTGTCGGGTCACTTGTTCATGTATTGTTGCCCATTTCTCTAGTTGTATTAGGGTCTCTTTTTCAGTTGTTATAAGCTGTTCATTGAACAAGTCTGCACTTAGGTCTAGCTGTACTTGTTTCAGTTCTTCTTCCAGTATACTGATCTTCCTCTCCAACATTGAAATTTCTTTGTTCATCTGGGATGTCTCTATTTCTATAAACTTCAGTTTCCTCCAGATTGATTACATGGTATGTCCATGCACCTGTTGTTCCCACACTTTATTTACTACTTCTTTGAATCTCTCTTGGGATAATAACACATTGACTAATCTGAATGGCCTTGGCAGTTTCTGCTTGGCCACTTCTGTTCTGATTATAATTGGAGAGTGATCTGAACATTCCGGGATATGATAGTATGCTTCGAGTTTTCCATACTTCATAAACCATAAGCCATTTCCAAATGTCCAATCAATCAAGCTGTAAATTCTTTCATTTGCCTCTCGTTTATTACACCATGAGTAGGTGCACCCTTTTCTATTTAGTTTGCCCAATCCAATTTCTTGAATGCAATTTTGGAAATCTTCCATTTCTGATTGTTTAACTGGCATCCCATTAACTCGATCATGCACAGAAAGGATTGTATTAAAATCTCCAATACCATCCAAGGTTCTGTGATGGAGCTGTTAATTTGCTTTAACATTCTCCATAGCTCTTGTCTTTCCTGTTGAGTATTTATCCCATATACAAATGTTATCTCACAAGCAAATTGTGACTCCTTGTCCTCAACCTTGCAATGTACCAGTTGCATATGAGATACTAGGATATTCACTTAAACCTTATTAGGTCTCCAACAAATCCACACCCTGCCTCTATTACTGACTAGGTAATTAGCATGAATTTTCCATTCTACTCCAAACTTTCTTTTTATTTTTTCTGCTCTTTTCTGCTCTACTTTAGTTTCTAGACATCCCAGCAGTACCACTTTATTCTTAAGCAAAAAGGACTTCAATTCCTTTTTCATATAGGGCTTATTCAGCCCTCTTATATTCCAAGAGCAAATGATCATGGAGGGTCTTTGTTCCTTGTGTCCCCTTTTGCCATATTGGCATTAGCTTTTTCAGGTTCTATCCTCAATGCACTGAATCTGTTCTTTTGAAGGAACTGCTCCACATCTTCAGTTTCTATCAAGGTTCTTGACCTGTTACCCTTGACTTCTACCATTTTCTGCTTGCCTCTATTTTTACTCTCTTGAACTTTCTGACTTTCCTCTATTGTATTTACTTCTTGATTCTTCTTCTTGAGTTGTTCATTTGGTTTGCCAGCAGCTTCAATCACAATTTCAGTAATTGAACCTGTATTAGGTTTAGCCTTCCATTGCTGCTTAGTCTTTTTCTTCTGCCTCCTTGGTAGTTGCTGGACATTACTGCCTTCACTTACTCTATTTTGTTCCTTGCAACTTGCTTTATGCCTTCCAATTAGTAAGCATTCCTGACAATACTCTGGTTTCCACTCATACTCAATCGATTGCTCATAGTAGCTACCATCAGGCTCCTCTAGTGTAACTGAATCGGGGAGAGGCTGGGTCACATCCATTTTAATAAGTACCCTGGCATAAGATATCATTTCTTCATTTGCTGTTAGCTTATCAGTACAAATTGGTTTACTCAAACAACTAGAGATATGGCCCAAATTTTCTGTGTCCCAATACTGGATAGGTAAATTAGGAAATATTACCCATATTGGTACTGCATTTAGAGGTTCTTCAGCTAGTATGAAGTTTGGCACCCATTGTTTCAGAATCATAGGCCTGTTATTATAGGTATATGTTCCATTCTGTAGTATCTTCAATTTGTCCTCTTCGTCTTCGAATCTAAATATGAAGTACCCTTCATCATGTAAATATACCTGTGGAGTTGTGACAGTATTCCATACCCCATAAACAAATCTCAGCATCTCTTTAGAAGTAGGAACCCCCTATGACATAGCCAATTAGGGCTGACCTCCACTTCTGATTCTGCTTTTCTATAGCATTTGCACTTAGCTTAACAATTTTATTTCCATCTTTCAATGTCGTAGGAAAATAATTGAGCTCTTCACCTAATTGTTGAGTTCGATTACCTTTAACTACATCCGCCACTGTTGGTTTGACCGCACTCGAGCTTGTAGAGAATGTTAATTTCCTTGCCGCATTGTGTGCTTCAGGCTGCCGGTGCGCTTCCTCCACCGGTTGCTTCTCTGGTATCTCTGACTGAACTTGGTTCAGTGCTTGCAGTATAGTTGGAGCGCTTCCCATACCCATCATCCATTTCCCTATTTGAATTGGGGCTAAACTTTGTGGAACTCTTGTTTCTGGTGTAACAACTCAAAGAGGTTCGTCTTTGGTTGAGGACAGAGTGGTGTCCACCACAGGCGTCGGAATTTGTTTCTTCTTCTGGCGAGCCATGGAAGGCGTACGTTAGCTAGTTTCTCTTAACATACGCCTCTAGAGCATGTTAGTTTTTTGCTACTTCTATTCTTGAACAAAGAAAGTTCAATTGACAAAATTTATCTCAACTTCAAAATGCTTTATAATCTAGTCTTCCTCTTTCTAAAACTAAGATATCTAATAATCACAAAATTCTCAGGAGAAACACTAGTTTTCAAAAAAAAAAATAGGGGATATAAACAATCATATAATACTGTGGAAATAGATAATTTGGTCTACTACTTTTACCATATATATATATATATATATATATATATATATATATATATATATATATATATATATATGGGAATAGGAAGGCGAAATATATAAACGGCCCCTCCAAGTTGTCCACAACGGTCAGTTGAACACCTCAACTGAGACTATTTCCAGCTAAATACTTCACGTGGCTATTAAGTAGGTCAAGTAAACACCCGATCCAGTCAGCTCATCTTGCGTGTAATACACTCACCGAGACGCACGTCGCCTATCCATTCCAAACTTTAATAGTAACAGTAATATTTGAAGACTCTAATTTAAGCCCAAATCGGAACTCTAATTTTCACTTTATCTTCTCCATCTTCCTTCTGCTATACCCCTCCATTTTTGGCGACCTTCCTTTCAATTGGAAAGAATTTTTCAAATTCAGGACATTAGACAAAGAACCCGTTCCAAAACAGGATCCAAACAGTATTCCATAAGTTTCAGAGAAGAAAATCGTTTGCGCAAACAGGAAGATAACATGGGCAGATTCTCATCCAACAACACCGCCTCAACTTCTGCCTCCGCTCTATAACCTTCTCCATCTTCATCTTCATCTTCTTGTTCAAGTCCCCATCTCCGG